CTAGGCACTTATGGGGGAACCCCCCTCTTAAGAAGGATTACATCTCCCTGAAACGCCTCATTCCCCCCAGCATAAAATGGATAGCACACAGTTTTCTCCCCAGTCTTAAGCAAATGCAAGTGGGAGGCTGTCGGGAGCACTGGTGTAACCCTGTAAATATAACCTTCACCAAGGTGGGGTAGAGAAGAGAAGATACATGGATCAAAGGACATACTTGGGAAATCAGACATTAGGATAAGCTTCAATGGTTTGGACAGGCACCTAACCCAGGAGCTATAGTCACCGTAAGATTGCTTGTTGGCTATCCTACCACTGTAAAAGTGATAGGGCCCAATCAAGTTAAACCCAGGCCCAAGCCCAAGCCTGTCCCCATACCTCAGCCCCTTAAACCTAAGCCCACCATCTCCATGCCCCAGCGACAACAGTCACGTTCTTGGCTGGCAACACCATGACAGTAACTCCCCAGGCCTCAACCTTGGTGTCTTTCACTGTAATGTGTTCTTTTTCTTTCTGGCTCTCCCCTTCCACTCCTCATTTGATATTGTTATTACTGTCATCATTGATGTTAACGGCAGTTGACAGCACCATCACCCAGAGCAGGGGCCCAGCTGAGACGGACCTGCTTCTTGAGTTGGTGCAAAGATCATTCATGGTTTCAAATTCTACTGAGCCAAACTTAACACCTTCTTGTTGGCTTTGTTATGACACTGCACCCCCTTATTGTGAGGGCATTGCTATTATGGGAAATTACCCCTTGGAGACTGAGCATGACCAATGCTGTTGGCAATCTAAGGCCAACCTGACCCTTGAAGAAGTAACGGGTCAAGGGTTCTGTATAGGTGCCATGCCAAATGACACACGAGCACTATGCAATCAAACCTCAGCCCTTCCCACCTCCCTAGGAAGTCTAATTCCTCCTAAAGATACTTGGTAGGCATGTTCCTCTGATGTGCCCATACAAGATCCTTAATGACAGCAAAGGATTCTGTATTTTGGTGCAACTGGTCCCCAGGCTGATTTGTCACTCAAACAAGGAACCACTAAATAGACTAGGAACCCCAGTCATGGGGCAAGTTAGGAGAAAACCTATGTCCACTCTTACCCTAAGTATATTGCTGGGAGCTAGCCTAGGCAAGCTGGGAATGGAGACGGCCTCCCTGATTACTCAAAATCAGCATTATTCCAGCCAACGCGCTGTTACAGACACAGATACAGAGTGATTAAAAAACTCTGTCTCTCACTTACAGAAATCTCTAACGTCTTCAGCAGAAGTCATGTTACAAAATAGAAGATGCTTAGACCTAACTTTTCTTCAGCAAGGGGCACTCTGAGCTGCATTAGGAGAAAAATGTTCTTTCTGTATAGATCATAGCGGGGTGGTAAAAGACAATATGCCCAAGGTGAGAGAGAACAAGAGGCTAATCAGGGAGGGTTTGAATCTTGGTTTAACAGTTCCCTTGGCTGACTACTTTAATCTCCACCCTACTGAGCCACCTCTTCATATTATCTTACTCCTAACTCTGTATCCTAAACAGGCTGGTATAATTCATGAAAGAGAGGCTTGGGGCAATTCAGATAATGGTCACCAGCTATCAGCCAGGGGCTCTGATGGAATTAGATAATTTAAGACAAGATCAAGACCCATGATGGGGCTCTCGGAACAAAGAAGAGAAGAGAATAAAGGGACTAAACAAACTCCATTTTGAAAAAGAACTCCATTTTAGACAAGGCCCAACCAGGAGATGAACTCAGTCCTACTAAACATCCCAATAAGAGTAAAAGTTCGGGGGTCTTGAGACATGGGCACAATAGTAAGTGCTTGAACAAATGTGTTTGGAAAATGCCTTGATTTATGACTATGGTTTGTCCTGTGGCTATAAAAGCTCCTATAAGCACTTCCGGAGTGGAGCATGCCATTTGGGGCAATTTGAATCCATGTGTCCCAAAGCATGATCATTCGTGTTTGGCACAGAATGAATACACTCTCTGCTCCCTTTTGGATGAGAGATGTAGCTTGATTGGACATATCTCTATCTCCAGAACACTCATCCTTTCTAATAAAACTCTCTATCATGGAAGTACTTAAAACTGTATGCCATGTTCTTTTAATGTAAAAACACAATCATAATCACTACGTAATATACTTTGGGGAGGAAAATCAGGTTCTCTAATGAAAAAAAAAAATCAGGCCAGATATGGTAGCACACCTGGAAACCCAGCACCAAAGAATCTGAAAATAGGAGGACTGCTTTGACTTTGAGACCAGCCTAGGTTACACGTGGAGACACTATCTCAAGCAAACAAACGGGGCTGGCAGGAACAGTTCAGAAGATAAAGGCATGTTCAGCTAAGTCTGAAGGCATGAGTTCAGTTCCAGAAACCCACTTTCTGAAAGGAGAGAATCGACTCCAAAAATTATCCGCTGACTTCCACATGTAAAGAAAGAGACCTGGTCAGTCGTCCTCATCAACTTAGACCATGAAACCCAATATGGACAAGTTCAACAGAACCGCCACATACGGGCTGCCCATGCATGCTTCAGCATTCATTTTCACTCATTCCACAGGCAAATGGTGGCGCATGCACACATGCGCGCTGGAGCAAGAGTGTGCGCTTGCACGTGAACACACACACATGCTTATATACCACACACACACACCACACGCGCACACACACACATATAAATATATGTAATGAAATCTTAAACAGTATGTAAAGAAGGCAAACAATTTCAATGTTGGATAACGAAGCTGAATTGCCATCTATTCAAAAATGCGCTGGGCTGTGGTGGCGCACGCCTTTAATCCCAGCACTCGGGAGGCAGAGGCAGGCAGAACTCTGTGAGTTTGAGGCCAACCTGATCTACAAGAGCTAGTTCTGGGACAGGCACCAAAGTCACAGAGAAACCAAAGAAAAAGAAATAAAAAGGTTTATTTCCTGCTGGTAATTAACTTTAACTGGAGCTGCCTGAAGCCCAGGGGCCTTAACGTTTGTCTTTTACCTGTAAGCACCAAAAGAATGCCTCTGAGAAGCAAGGTGTTGAAGATGCTAACAGGAGAGGTGAGATTGCTGGAAGAATAAAACACAGCCAAAGTTTCTGCCCCCTGGAATGAGCACCAGTTCCGAGGTTTCTTTGTTGATATTTGGTGTTTGCAGTGCCGGGATGGAACCCATAGCCTTGTAGAAGGCAGACAACTGCTCTCTGCCACTGACCTACAATCTTCTTTTAAGAATGAATATTCAGAATACCCAATTAAGCACATGTTAAGTGCCTGGGAGATTTACAGAAGAAGAGGTTTACTGCAAGAGCGCAGAAGCTTCCTCTCCCTAGTTCCTGACCATGGAGAGCATGTTAGCCATTTTTGGGGAACTCTTTGGCATCTTTTCAGAGGGCAGTTTAGTTTTCACTTTAAAAACTCGGGGCTTAGACAGACTGTCACAAGACACCAAGAATATTTAGAGGAAGGAAGCAGGGTTACAAGGCTGTGCCAGGATGATATGGTTAGTAAGTGCTTAGTAAGAGAATCAGCAGTGAATAAGACGGCGACAGACGGCAATCCATCCAGGCTGCTCTCCGCAGTTTCTTCCAAACCTAAACATCCCTACAGACCCTCAAGGGAACATTGTGTAGCACCCCTGTTCTTAATCCTCAAACTAGAAACATGGAGACACACCTTCCATCTGTTAAAGGCCGACTGAGCCAGCAAAGGTCTTACTCAGCATCTCACCTGGACAAGCAGCAGAGAGCATCACAACTACTGTTTGATATTTCACAAAAAATTCTGGCCAATGAAATGACAGAAAGGAAATACAGCTGCTAGTCTACAAGAGAAGAAACTAAGTTTGTCAGTCTGGAATGATCTTTCTATTCTGTTCTCCAACAACTGCATAAAAAAAAAGAAAGAAAGAAAAAAGAAATAACCTCTTGCAAGTTCTAACCAATCGCATTTCTACCGCTTGCAGTGGCTATCTAGATGAAGGAGCTTAGATTTCCGAGGAAATCAAGCAATACCTCACTCATTTAACTTGTCACTCTAAGAGTCCAGGGCTGATCTCTGTGGTTGTCTCTACTCAGAGCAAGCCACCTGTCTCAAATTTCTGGGCAACTCTACACTCACTAGGTACAGGGCATGTGCTCAGGTAAAAGCACCTTATTTTGCCCTTTCAAGCCACTGCAGAGCTAGAAAGAAGCAAACGCTAAAATCCATTTTTTAAAAAAAAATTTAAAATCAATCTATGTATTACCCTAGCTAATGAACAACCACAAAGACTGATTTCTTTTTCTTTTCTTCTTTTCCCCCCACTTTTGGTAACACATTTTCCATCGGAACAAACCTTACAGAACTTGCAAGCCATGAAGAACCTGCAACACAGCAAGCAGAGGGTAGCTGGGCCCGCTCCCAAAGCTCCTGAGGCCGCGGACCGTAAAAGGGGGGGGGGGGGGGGGGAGGGATGGAGCCCGGGGGGCGCGCGCTGGGGAGGGGCTCCCGTCTCCATGACGACCGCTCTGGCGGGGTGGAGTGGGGGTTTATCGGGGATGGGGGAATCCGCGGGGACGGCCTACCGTGTAGCCGCGTTCCAGATCGCTGTCCTCGTGGCGAAAGGACGGGATGTAGACCTCCATGGCCGCGGCGAGGCCGCGCCACCCTCGGCTCCGCAGCACCGTGCAGGCCGCCCCGCCTCCCGCTGCCCTCCCGGCGCGCGCGCGCGTGCGCGCAGCCCAAGGTGCTCGGCCGGGACCGGGATCCGCGGCGCGGGGGCAGCGGGCGCGGGCGGCGTGAGGCTCGGCGGGGCCGAAGTGTGGGGCCTGCAGGGCGGCGCGGATCAGCTGGGCCCGGGAGGCGGGGCTTGCGGGCCGGAGTCTGCACCGGCGGGTGTGCGCGGCCACGCGGGGCGCCGCCACCCGGGTCTCTCCTGCCCTGCGGGCTCCGGATCTGCGGGGCGCCACCCCAGAGTAGGAGCCAGTGGAGGACGGAAAATGATGGCGATCGAGATTCTGCCCAGCTAGGGCTGGCTTCGGCTTTCGTGCTGACCTAGGCAAACCGTGCCAACTTTCACTGGGACTGCTGCGGCTGCACCCCATTCAGCTAACCCAGCCTTCCGAGCCTGGGGGTGCGACCGCATAGTCTCAAAGTGACTAGTGCCCGCTCTAGTTTCAAGACATTCACTGCTTCTAAGGAACTGTAAGTGGACAAGATAGAAGTGATTGCTTAAAAGTGTGGTGGCCAGACAGTGCCTGTCCCTCAGCTGCACTTAGCTGCCTCCTGGATAGTTCAGGAAAGTGGATTATGAAGTTACTCAAGGAAACTGAGTTTCTTTCTTATGTTAGTTTCTTTCTTATGTTAGTGCAGAATAGCATTTGGAAGAAACTGTGGGACACACAGCTGTGATGTAAACCACATCTCATCTGATGTCAAGCGCAACACTGACCAGCCAGCGGCTTCTTGAGTTTACAGTAAGTAAACAGTTGCTTCCACTCACTTTGCCCTTGAGGACAGGGGGCATTTCAACATAAATTCTACAGAGGGAGATGAACCCTAAATCATAGAGAAAGTGCTCTTGTTTCTTCCTCCTCTTCTTTGTTTTGTTTTTTTGTTTTTGTTTTTGGGTTTTTTTTGGGGGGGGGGCGGGTTGTTTTGTTTTGAGACGGGGTTTCTCTGTGTAACACTTCTGGCTGTCCTGGAACTCACCGAGCTCTGCCTGCCTCTGCCACCCATGTGCCACCACCGCCCCGCAGTGACGGTCTGGGTTCTTGCCTGCTGTGGACTTAGAGGTCCTCCACAGCCACATCTGAAGAGGCATTCTCCCCGACTCAGCACCTACAGCCCCAGGATGTGACCTCTTACCTGTAGCCACCTGCACTTCCTGAATCCAACAGTCCTGTGGTCCCTGCTGCTGCAGAGACTAGTTTGTAGATTGTTTTAGCCCCTGGCAAGTGTCACATTGTATTGTGTGATTTCTCACCCTTCTTCTGGGTAAATTTTAATTTCTATTCAAGAGTACAATTGCCTTAAAAGAAAATGTGTTATCGTGGGTTGTGATGGACCTGGCCTTTAATTCCAGAACTAGGGAGGCAGAAGCAAGCAGATATCTGTAAGGTCCAGGACAGCCAGGGCTACACAGTGAGACCGTGTTGGGGTTTTTTTTTTTTTGTTTGTTTGTTTTGTTTTGTTTTAAATTGTATTGGAGCCAATGAGCTGGCTCAGTGGGTCTAGGTGCTTGCCTGATGAACTCCTAGATTCAATGCCTGGAACCTACATGTTGGCAAGAGTGAACCAAGTGCCACCAATTGCCCTCTGACCTCCAACACCCACTCACCCCCACCTCTCCCACACAGCAAATAAATAAATGCGTTATTCTCCCTGTTCTTGTTATTTTTTTGTTTTTGTTTGTTTGGTTTTGGTTTTTCGAGACAGAGTTTCTCTGTAGCTTCTGGAACTAGCTCTTGTTTGACACAAGCTAGAATCGAAGAAGAGGGGAGAAGTCTGTGGGGCATTTTTGATTGCTAATTGATAGCACTGTGGGCAGTGCCACCTCTGGGTGGGAGGTCCTGGGTGGTCTAAGGAAGCAAACAGACAAGCCATGGGAGAGCAAGCAGCAGGCAGCTGTCTTCCGTGGTCCTGGTCTCTGCTTCAGTTCCTGCCGCCAGGTTCCTGCTCTTAAGTTCCTGCCATGACATCCCTTCTTGATGGATTACAACTGTGAGCTCAAAGAAAGCATTTCCTCTCCAAATTGCTTTTGATCAGTGTTTTAACAGGGCAATAGAAACGGAGCCAAGACACTTTTCTGTGGTACTATATCTGGTGCATATTTTTCTAGAATCTAAGTACTTACACAAAACGCGTAGAAGAGGTCAGGCCCTGTGTATAAACTTCATGTCACGTCCCAGGGAGGAAGTGTTGTGTGCTGCTATCTGCAGTGGAACTTACAAAGTTAGAAAATCAGTAGTGTTTCTGGATTGTTGTGTTTGGATATCTTTGCTTTCTGTTTGTTTCTGTAATTCAGGCTGTTTCTTAAAACACAACCTCACTATATAGCCCAGGCTACCGCAAACTTAAAATCCTCTTGCCTTGGCCTCTTGTTGTGTGACAGGGGTTGTAGCCCCACAACACACATACATAGGATACTTCCACTTACCAAGAGGGATATTCAATCTCCTCCCTTCTCCCTCCTCCCACCCACTTTTTCCTTTTGCCTTAATTCTGTAGCTAAAACTCAGGCTCTTTATTGAAGAAGAATGGAAAGTGGGCACCCTTGTCTCCTTCCTGATCTTTGAGGAAATGCATTCAGGTTTTCGCCACTAAGTATAAAGTTGACCATAGGTTTATGATGCGTAGCCTTTATTGTGTTGAGGTAAGTATGACCACTGTTATTCTGGGCTTTCATCATGAAGGGATGCCAAAGGCCTTTTCTGTGTCCATTGGAATGACCTAATGATTTGTGTCTGATTTGCATATGTTGAAGCATTCTCTTCTCCCAGATTAAACCAGCATCATTGTAGTGCATACCTTTTTTAAAAAATGTATTGTGGTGAATTCAGTTTACAGGTATTTTATAAAGAATTTTTGTATCTGTGTCCATTAGGGATAGTGGTCTTCAGTTTTTTCTTCTTTTCTCACCTGGTTTGGGTCTCAGGATGTTGTTGGTTTGGGTCTCAGGATAATGACAGGGTGTGTGTTTGTTTGTTTGTTTTGGGTGAGGTGGTGGCCAAGGTTAGCCTGGGTGGGAATCAGGAGTTCAAGGTCATTCTTAGCCACCCAGGCTTGGCCAGCCAGGTCTGGCCTCTCTAGTTTGTGGTACAGAGATCTTTCACGCTTGGAATGAGTTAGACGGTTTGTCTTAGTTTCTTTTCTTCCTTTCCTTTCCTTTCCAACCCATGGGACAGCTTGAGGAGTATTAGTGTTTGCTGTTTTTTAGAGGCACCCTAGAATTCTTTGTCAGGAAACTATGACTGCTTCTATCACGCTGCAGGTTATGGATGTATTTAACATAGATCCTCTTGCTTGAGTTTTGGTAGGTCATATGTGTCTATAAACATACTCATTTCTAGATTTCCCATGTTTTCAGAGTATCAGTTTTCAAAGCACTTCCTAGTGACCCTCTGGGGTTGATGCCTCCTCCCCCTTTTTCTAATTTTGTTAATTCAAGCCTTCTCTTTCTTTTGATTATTTGGTAAAGGTTTGGTCAATCTTGTCTTTTTCCACAAAACTTTATTTTTCTTTGTTTTATTTGCTTTGTGTTGTTCTTTTAGTGTCCATGCCTTAATTTCTAGTTGGGTTTTTATAATTTTGTTCAATACTACGCTGGGTTGTATCTCATTCTTGTTCTTCTAAAACATCATCAAATTATTTATGTGAGATCTCTGGGGTTTTTCTTTTACACGCGGATGTGTGGCGTGCATACACATGCACAAGTGTGTGGTGTGGATGCATATATCTATGTGCACGTGTGTGCATGTATGTAGAAAATTGAAATTGAATTGTGGTAGGATGTTTTTTAAACACTCCCCACTTTATTTTCTGTGTCGGAATCTCAGGAGCTTTCCAGTCCCAGATAGTCTAGCCAGCTTGCCCTGACCATCCTCTGCCTCCTGGGTGTTGGGATTACAGGCAGCCACCATGCCCACCCGGATTTTACGTGGGGTTAGGGATCTATCCAGTCAACTGTTGGCCTGCTAATCCTTTCTCTGCTTTTTAATAGAAGCACTCAGAGCTCTGAACTTGCTTCTTTGCTGTTTCCCACATGCTCTGATAAGGTGTGCTTTTTATTTTTATTCAGTTGTAGCAATTTTTAAATTTCTCCTCTGATTTTTCCAATTCCAAAGTGGTTTCTTAAGTTTCCATGTATTTGCCTATTTTCTGTGTTTCCCCTTGCCATTGCATTCTAGGTCTGATTCACTTTAATCAAGCAAGGTGCAAGAAATTATTCCGATTTTTTTCTTTGTTCCTATTGGCCATATATCGTAAAGTGTGATCATTCCAGAGAGTTCTGAAGAGAAGAATGTGCATCCTGCGTCTTCTGGAAATACCTGTTAAGTCTATTTGATCTATTATGTCAAATATTGTTGACATTTGTCAGCTCTTAGTTTTGATGACCTACCTATTGACTAGATAAAGGTACTGAAGTCACTCACTATTATTATATCAGGACCTTTCTGTCTTTTTATGTCTGACTATGTGTATGAAACCAGGACCTTCACGCGGTCAACAAGACAAAATGATAGCTACAGAATCGGAAAAGATCATCACTAACCCCACATCAGACAGAGGTCTGATCTCCAAAATATACAAAGAACTCAAGAAATTGGACACCAAAAGAACACATAATCCAATTTAAAAAACGGAGTGCAGACCTAAACAGAGAACTCTCAACAGGAGAATCTAAAATGGCTGAAAGACACTTAAGGAAATGTTCAACATCCTTAGTCATCAGAGAAATACAAATCAAAAGAACTCTGAGATTCTATCTTACACCTGTAAGAATGGCCAAGATCAAAAACACTGATGACAACTTATGTTGGAGAGGTTGTGGGGAAAAGGGGACACTTCTGCATTGCTGGTGGGAATGCAAGCTGGTACAACCCCTTTGGATGTCAATGTGGAGATTTCTCAGAAAATTAGGAAACAACCTACCTCAAGACCCAGCAATACCACTTTTGGGTATATATCCAAAGGATGCTCTATCATGCCACAAGGACATGTGTTCAACTATGTTCATAGCAGCATTGTTTGTCATAGCCAGAACCTGGAAACAACCTAAATGTCTCTCAACCAAAGAATGGATAAGGAAAATGTAATACATTTACACAATGGAGTACTACACAGCAGAAAAAAATAATGACATCTTGAATTTTGCAGGAAAATGGATGGAGCTAGAAAACATCATTTTGAGTGAGGTAACCCAGACACAGAAAGACAGTTATCACATGTACTCACTCATAAGTGGTTTTTAAACATAAAGCAAAGAAAGCCAGCCTACAAACCACAATCCCAGAGAATTTAGACAACAATGAGGACACTAAGAAAGACTTATATAGATCTAATCTACTTGGGAAGTAGAAAGTAGAAAAAGGCAAGATCTCCTGAGTAAATTGAGAGCAAGGGGACCTTGGGGGAGGGTTGAAGGGGGGAGAGGAGAGGCAGGGAGGGGAGCAGAGAAAAGAGTAGAGCTCAAAAAATGTCAATAAAAAATTAAAATAAAAAGCATTAATCTTCTGGGGGGTAGTGGAATGCTAAGGGCTAAACCCAGGACCTCATGAAAGAAAGAAAGAAAGAAAGAAAGAAAGAAAGAAAGAAAGAAAGACCTTCAATGTTCAGTGCCTATATACTCAATATTCTGTATCCAGCCAGGAAGTGGATTTTCCTTTTATTAATATGTTGTGCCATCTTTGTATCTTTGAATTAATTTTGGCTTTAAGTTAATTCCATCCGGGTTTCGCGCGAGGCGGTTGAACCCCGTGGAGGCGTATGAGCAGGTCCAGAAGGGCCCCCTGAAGCTGAAAGGCGTCGCGGAGCTGGGCGTGACAAAGCGGAAGAAGAAGAAAAAGGACAAAGACAAGGCCAAGCTGCTGGAGGCCGTGGGGACGAGTAAGAAGAGCGAGGAGGAGAAGAGGCACTGCCTGGACAAAGGCGCAGGCGGCCTTTGAGAAGATGCAGGAGAAACGGCAAATGGAAAGAATCCTGAAGAAGGCGTCCAAAACCCATAAGCAGAGAGTGGAGGACTTCAACCGACACCTGGACACACTCACCGAGCACTATGACATTCCTAAAGTCAGCTGGACCAAGTAACTTGCCCCGGTGCAAAAGACAGGTCAGGCTGGCTGTTTTGCTCACCTCGGTGTTTTCTGGAATGCCCTACACCTGCCTGGTACATCTGCTGAAACCAGACTTTTCTGAAACTTGATTAAAGTCAGGCTGTCCTTTCACCGGGTGTACCCTTTTCTATTTGGACTGCAACATTGTTCTTTGACAGGCTCGGGTCTTTTCTGGGTTAGGCCCATGGAAGGAGGGTACCCCTCCCACCCTGATTGTGGCATCTGTCTTCATCTGCACCATAATGCCAGGACAGGAAGCTCCTACCTGTGGCCCACCACACAAATTTCCACAGTGCCGCTGCTTTTGGGCCACCTGGACATCAGACCACACAGCCTACATTGAGCAACAGCCACCTGAAGCAAGAATGGGACACAGGTCTCCAGCACATACCCTGCCCCTCAATCCACCTGGTGGTTGCCATTGCAGACATTGCTAATCAATCCAGTTTTCAATGATGGCACCTGGGGCTCCAAGCATATGATACATGTCATAAGCCTGCTTGGCATTCCTGGCTTAAGGACACCAAATACCAGACAATGCCAGGGCAAAGTGCCAGCAGACCTGGTGTGGTGGGAGAGCCCTGGTGCAGATTCTGTAGAGCTTCATCATCTGAGAGTCTAGGTGGACCTCTTGGAGAACCTGTGCACACACTGGAGAGAAGCAACTTCTGTTACCATGGATACTGAAAGGCTACCAGGAATCCCTGGAGCTGGCATGTAGAATAAAACAAGTGTCAGTCATGGAAAAAAAAAAAGTTAATTCCATCCGTTATAAGAATAAAGGTAGCTGATTCTAATGGAAATCTACTTACTGCCACCCTTAACACTTCCTTTCTTCGGCCATCTTTGTCAGGGAGGTTTATCTGTTTGGAGGCAACACATAGTTGGATCTTGTTTCTTAATCCTGTGTCTTTTGTTTTGTTTTTTAACAGAGTCTTGCTCTAAGTCTTGTTATGTTGTCTACCTTGATCTCATATTTGTGGCAGTCCCTCTACTTTAGTCTCCTGGGTGCTGGGATTACAGGGATCACCATCCCTTCTAATCCGTGTTGTCTTTTGAACCCCATATATAGATCAGGCTGGCCTGGACCTCAAAGAGATCTGCCTACCTCTGCCTCTCAACTGAAATGATTAAAGGCCTGCGCCACTGCACCCTGTCATGACACCAGTACACACTGGCACAAGTCAGACCTAGCTTCATGTCCTCCAGTACTTCGTTTTCCAGATGTCCAGAATGTTCTGAAGCGAGAAGATATGTTTGCTTGTGGAGCAATAGTCCCTGGAGAACAGCCAAGGAAACAGCACTGAGGCCTCTGGCCTGCTCTCTCAGAGGTCTCCTCCCGTCCTCTCATCTCCCTTCCCCTCCACCCTTTCCCTTCCTTTTTGAAATGGAATCTCATTATTCAGTACAGGCTGGCCTCAGAGGCAGTCTTCCCGTGCAGCTTCCCCCCTGGTGGGATCAGGACTTAGCCATCCTGTCTAGTTTATGGTCTCTTTCCCCTCTGCTGAGCCTTTGCTTCCATAGGGCCTGCAGGCCTTTACCATGGGGGTTTTCTGGCAGGAGCCATACGAAGACAACCAGACACTTAGCAGACACTCCTAATATGCCAATCCTAGCCTTACTTTTACTTCCCTGGGGTGGGGGTGGGGGGCGCAAATCTCACGTGATCATGAAGTCTGGCTACTTCTCTACTACAAGCTGTGGACTCAGGTATTAGGCCCTGGCTCAGCTGTCTAAAGACTTTTGGCCCTGGGCTGATCTGTGCTTCCCACAGGGCACACTGTTTTATTTCTGCGGACCATGCTTTCCCTGTGTGTGGAAAGTTCCCTTGCAGCTAGCAGTGTGAATAACTCCACCCACACACTGCTCAGGAATCTCAGCAGCCCCCTCTCAAGGGAGGCCCCATGGGCCACACGTCTCAGATGCCAGCCACTGTGCCCTGCAGCCAGCTCTGGTTCCAGGTGCTCAGGGCTCGGTGTGTGAGGTGGGTGGCAGGGTTGGTGGCTACCAGAGAAAGCCAGCAAGCTCCTTGCCCACCTGCGTGTTGTCCTTTCATGGAATTTATTCCTTCCTGTGTTCTACTGACTGAGACTTTCTTCTTCTGTGTGTACAGTCATCGGCTGCAGTGCTGGCTCCATAGTCCTGAATCGCTTTAGTTTGTACTTGTCATTTCTCGTTACTTTGTTGAAACATACTGCACTGTGTAGCCCTGTGTGATTTACTGTGTAGACTAGGAGAGTGAACTCTGATCATCCTGCCGCTGACACATAAAGATGACAAACGTGTCCTACAGCACCAAACATCTTCATTTCTCTTACTGTAGCCTTCCTTCCTTTTTCTTTGAGGTAGGGCTCATGTAGCCTGGCTCCAGCCCTGACCTTGCTGCCTCTAAGCATGGACTACAACCTCTTTCTTCTATCCATCCCCGTTTCGTGCCAGGTGCTGGGGACTGAACCCAGGGCCTCGAAGGCAAGAACTCTACCGTGAGATTCTGTCCCCAGTCCTCTCTTAGTGTTCCCAACAGCTTTCCCCACATAACGATCAACAGAATACTAAATAAATCCAACCATGTGTTTTAGGTCCTGCTTTCTGATAGTTGAAGAAAATGACACGTGTGTGCACGCGTGTTTTGCTTCATTGTATTTTTGTTGTTGATAAAGGGTCTTCCTTTAGAACCCTGGCTCCCCTGGAACTCCCTATGTAGACCAGGCTGACCTTGTACTCCTAGAGATCCTACTGCCCCTGCCTCCTGGCATGGCTTCTGTAGATGGCAGTTTCTGTCCTACCTGGTCCCGCAGCCTGAGTTCAGTCCCAAAGAAACACACAGAGGCTTAGGTTAATTATAAACTGGTTGACTTATTAGCTCAGGTTAATTATTACCTAGCTCTTACACCTTAAATTAACTAATAATTCTTGTCTATGTTTAGCCATGTGGCTTGGTGCTTTTTCTCAGGGAGGCATTCTCATCTTGCCTCCTCTGTGTCTGACTGGTGACTGTGTCTCTGCCTTTTCTCTTCCCAGAATTCTCTTAGTCTGGTTGCCCTGCCTATATTTCCTGCCTGGATACTAGTCAATCACTATTTTATTAAACTAATATAAGCAACAAATCTTTATAGTGTACAAGAGCATTATTCCACAGCATTTCCCCTTTTCTCTTTTCATAACAAGAACTATGAACCTTTTCTCTTTTGTTTAGCTTTTTTCCCCCCTGACCATTATCCATAACAACTTATAACCAACACTCTAAACAAAGACAAACATCCATAATCCATTTTTGGGGGGAAATGTGGGCATAGTTTTCTAGGCTACTTCCTGCTGCTTGGGGGTGTTGGTAATCTTATGGGATCCAACGAAAATTTAGGATTAGGGTCAAGTCCCAACTGGAGTATTCTGTGAAGCTGGATCATCTCAGAGCAGTCTTGGAAGTTTTTCTGAATGCAGAACTCATAAGCAGCTGCAACAGAGATGCTCTGAAACATTAGCTAATCTGGGCCATCCATTCCTATTGGAGATATTTCAGGGGGCATTCCTTGATCAA